GGTGGTCAGGGTACTAAAGACAGAAGGAGGGTCGCTTTTCACTAATATACTCTTTTGTTCATTTTGATTTTTATGTAATCATGTGCATGTATTGCGTTTTCTGAACATACATTTCATTTCAGAATCAGATCAGATTTCTTCCTGCGGAAGGCTGGGCAGCAGAGCTAGTCAAGGGGTTAATCAGAGGAAGTTGTTCCCAAAGGCAATTAACACCTTTCTCTAACCAGCAGCTTATTTGTAGGAACTGAAGCAAGGTAAGTGTTAAAGCAGAAAAGGTTTTATGGGAATAGACAGGCAGGCAACGTTTATTAAGTCATTATTAATGAGCGGGGCTTATTAATTAATTTTTTAATAAAATACATGCTCATCGCAACAATGCAAACTTAAAGATGGATCTGAAGCAAAACTAACACCCTCCAGTCCAACTCCTTTGACACACTGTAATTAGAAGTTTGATTTTCCTGCTTTTTCTTTGCTTAAACCAGGGTTCAGGGTGATTTGGATAGGTTTCTTCTGCTTTCCGTGAAATGAGACATTATTCTTTTTTTAATGTTTATTTATTTTTGAGACAGAGAGAAACAGAGCATGAGTGGGGGAGGGACAGAGAGACACACACAGAATCCAAAGCAGGCTCCAGGATCTGAGCTGTCAGCACAGAGCCTTATGCGGGGCTCGAACCCACAAACTGTGAGATCATGACCTGAGCCCAAGTCGGAAGTCGAAAGCTTAACAAACTGAGCCACTCAAATACCCCGAGACATTATTCTTTACCATCCTTTTCCAGCTTCATCCTTTTCAGAGAGAGTTTTAAGTTGACACACACGAACCGACCTCATTTGTTTCAATAGCTACCTAATATGCAACTGTATTGATACAAGCCTTGTTTCTAAATTCTTGTTATTACAGAAGTGTTGTGAAAGCTATGCTTGTGTCTATTTTACTCTGTATTATTGTTTGCATTTCTGAAGATGGTCCCACTTTCGTTTTTAAGTAGGCTCCATGCCCAAGCCCAACGTGCGGCTTGAACTCATGACCTTGAGATCAGGAGTTTCATGCTCCACCCACCGAGCCAGCCAGGCATCCCACACATTTAGTGTTTGTCATAATATTTTTGAGAGTTTTTCCTAAAAGACTGTAATTTTTTTTATGAGGGGTGTACTAGTGTTGGTGTCCTTATGCCTTCGTCAGCGTGAAGTTTACCAATATTTTTCATGCTTGCCAATATTAGGAGATATGTGGGGGCTTGTGGGGAATTTTCACTTCCCTGCATATACATATGTATGCTGCCCCTTTGAATTTCTTCTTCTGTACACTGTTTACAGTCTTTCCCCATTTTCCCACTGGGTCGTTTGTATCTTTCCAGGTCATCTGTAGGAACATGTTCACTCCAGGGATGGTAAGCCATTGTTATACAAAGTTTAAATATTTTCTCCCACATTTTGACCTCGTTTGTGATGTCTTTTGTTCTACAGAAGTTAACATTTTTCCTGTAATCAGATCTTTCCATTTTTTTCCTTCGTAGTTATTAATAACCACAGATGTTTCCATAACCCAGTGGTTTTTGTACAGTACTCCTGACCTTCGGATTTCATGGGGATGAACGGATGTCAGGGGGTGGGGCTGAGCAGGGCTGCGCGGTCGGGGGCTCGTCACTGCTCCTTCCTCTCTCGTCACTGATCTTTCACACACTACACCAATGACTGCAGGGGCAGACGGCCAGGATGTGGGGCCAGAATTATTGGGCAAAATATTGAACCTCCCTAGGCCTGCATTTAATATCCTGAGGATTTAGAACAGTGCCTGCCTCTGGGGTTATGCTGAGACTCCAGTGAGCGGATCCGGGGAAGGCCCCTGCTTAATGGCCAATCATTATGTGCCTGACAGGGCGCTAGGCACTGTGTCTACATACATTGTTACCCTGTCCTTAGAAGCTGTCTGAGAGCCCAACAGGATTATCCCTGTCTTGCAGAGGAGGAAACTGAGGCCCAGAGAACTTAGGTACCTTGCCTAAAGGCACAAGGGTAGCAAGTCTTGGAGTCTGAGATTTGCTCCTTGGTTTCTCTGTGACTTCAAGGTCCTGCTCCTCCTCCTATCCACTCTCTATACCACATAGATATTGAATGAGCACCTACTCTGTTCCTGCCTAACGGTGGGCATTGGGAATCCGGCAGTGACCATGACAGTGTCAGTCTCTTGCTGATAGTCTGCTGGGTGAGGTGGTCATGAGCTAGACAACTTCAAGCTGTGGGTCACTGCAATTAAGAGTTTTGCAGGGAGAGACAATATGGCGATTGCTCTTTTTGACTCAAGGATCAAGAGAGGACTCTCTGAGAACATTCTACATGCCCCAAGACATAAAGAATGAGTAAGAGCTGGCCAGTTGGAAACTGTACCATATCAGATGAGCTGGCTCCTTGGCAGGCTCCAAGAATGGAATAGAAGGTCCATGTGGTGGGAAAACAGTCATGCAAGTTTTGAGGTAGAGGTGGAGAGGTCAGGGGAAGCCAGAGCACGCAAGGCCCGTGTAGGTTGAGATTTAAAAAGTTTGGATATAGTTATAAAGGCCCTGGGAAGCCATGGAAGGTCTAAGCAAGGAAATGCTACATATGACTGTGCTTTAAAAATATCTCCCTGCAGACATATATATACCCTGTGATGAAGTAATTCTACCCCTCGGTAGGTACCCACAGAAATGCATGCTTAGACAAAAAGACACCAAAGACGGAAATATGGACAAGGACACTCTTTGTAAGAGCTGTGATTTGTAAACCACTGGAATGCCTCTCAGTACTTGACTGAATAAATATTGATAGAACCAGACAGTGGAATACTATACAGCAATGAAAAATGAACACATTAGAATGATACGTAATGATATGGATGGGTCTGACAGAAGCAGTGATGGGTGAATTAAGGCAGATATAAAATGGTACATGCGGTATTAACCTTTATATCAAATTCAAAAGCAGGCTAAGCTAACCTCTGGTGCTAGAAGTCAGTAGAGTGGTTATCCTGGAAGAGAAATGTGGGTAACTGAGAGGGGGCATCCAGGGGCTCCTAGGATGCCAGCGGTGCTCTGCTTTTTCGGCTAGGTGCTGGTGACACAGGTATGTTTAGTTCATCAAGCCTAACACTTATGATTTGCGCGTGACCCTGCAAGTACGTTCTACTCTGGCCAGTACGTGAGCACTGAACTTGGAAAGGGGCAGGTATGGTCTGGGGGAGGCGAGGTAGGGATATTGCAGCAGGATGCAGGTGAGCGGTTGTTGGTCAGGAGGGGCGGCAGTGGCACTTGGAGGCCTAAATTTGGCGTGGAGACCAACATTGGAGAAGAGCCCACAGGCCTGGTGATAGTGGGGGAGTGGTGGCTCGGGAGCATGCGAGCGGCAGGGGTGGGGTGGGGTGGGTGGGGGACACTGCAAGGCTGACCCTCCAGCTTCTCCCATGAGCACCTGGGTGGCAGGAGGAGTCAGACTAAATGTGAAGAAGGTGTGGGAGGGGCAGATGGGCAGAGGATGGCCGACTCCAGGGCTTAGTTCTGGACGTGTGAGATTTGAGATGTTTCCTAAAGACAACATCACAGGAGCAGATGGATAGATGGACGTACAGAGAGATTTCATTTGGGAAAAGAAGAGACTTCTGCCGCTTAAGAGAAGGCCCTTTCACAAAGCACGTCCGCTTTCCTTCTCTCATTCCGCCTCATGACAAGAATTCTTTAATTCTTGTTTTCATCTGAGTATAGTTGACACATAATGTTGCATTAGTTTCAGATGTACAACATGGTAACTTAACTTCCTTATATGTCATGCTACGCTCACCACAAGGGTAGCTACCATCTGTTACCATACACTGCTGTTACAATATCGCTAATTATATTCCCAATTCTGTGCCTTTTATTCCCCTCAAAGTCTTATCTGTCTGGGAGGCAAGGTGAGGTTGGGTGGGGGGACTGTTTCTTTATGGAGAAAGTAGAGTTATATTCATACGTCTGTTGCTACACGAACATGCTGTATTTATCTATTATAAGAGTAGTCCCGGGATAGGAACTGGGCTGACGTGTTTGGGGACTGAGTTAAGAGGTCTAAGACGCAAGGGTCATGGAGAGAGGAGCTTTCAGAGAGCCCTGGGCCCCCAGGACAGGTCACTTGCAGAAACATGGGCCCTGTTACCTTTTGATTCAATCTGTCCCTGCTTCCCGGAAGGATGTGGGTCACCCCTTTCCCTTTTTGGAACTTCCAAAGCTCCCCATTGCCCTCAGGATAGAGTTCTTGGCACGGGCCACTGGGGCCAGGCAGCAAGCGGCCTCTCCATTCCTGCAGTCTCTTCTTTCACTCTTTTTACCAGATTCTCCATGTTCCAGACACAAGGGACTTTCTTCCCTTCTGCTGAATGCTGTGTTGTTTCCTAGTTCCAGACCTTGGTGCCATCTGTTGTTTCCTCTGCCTGGGAACTCGGTCACTCTCATTCAGTCTTCACTGCACATCCTTCAAGTCTCAGCTTCATCCATTTTTTTCAGGAAGGCTTCCCCATTGTCTGAACAGAATGAACCCCTGACCTCGAAGCATTCCCCCAAGGCATCCAGTGCAGCCGGATGTGACTCACTGCTCTTCATGGTAGATCTCATTCAGTGTCTTGCTTTTGCCACCAGACTGTGAGCTCCAGGGTGGTGGGGACTGTGCCTTGTCCCTATACCTGGGGACTGAGCTCGGTGCCCAGCAGAGGGACAGATGACTGATTTGTCCCATGACTTCCCAGACCAAGGACCATGCCCTGGCAACAGGTGTCAGATGTATTCTCACAGCTATGTTCTTCCCTTGCCTTCTGGGATAAGCCCTCAAGACCCAGCCAATGACCTCGAAGCTGGGCCTTCTTCATTTATACCCCCCAGGCCCAATGAGACCCAGTCTCCACCGTGTACTCAGGAGCTTGTCCTTGTGTTTACAAAATCCTCTGAAAATGCTCATGACCATGACTGACCCCACATCTACTTTTTTCAACAGAAACATTGGATACAGTTTACAAATGGGTTGGGGCCAAGACCTGCCCCCGTCCCCTTGCAAAAACCACTGAAGTTCAAACTCACGGGGGCCGACTCGATCTGAAATAATGTAAGACCGTGAAGGCGTCCAACAGCAGTGCTGGTGGTGACACTGGAGAGACAATGGTCACAGAACATGAAGGTAGTAAAAGGCTGTGTGGCAAAGCCTAAGAACCTGAATACCTTTTGTTGTCGCAGTTCCACCTCTTGGAGTTCATTATAATAAAAAAAGGCATGGAACAGAAATGGACTTATGAGCATGTCTACTAAAGTGTCACTCATCACAGTCAAACAGTGGGAGTAATCTAGAGAGCCAACATCAGGAGATGGGTTAAAAGTAAAAATTCAGGCAGCTCTTGGCCACCGTTATAAATGATGCTGTGTGTGTACGTTACTTACATGGAATTATGTCCATGACAAGCGTGGGTGTGTTCAGGGTTGTTCGGTGGCAAGTGACAGAAATCCATCTCAAAATGAAAGAAGCCAAGGGAGGACTTACTGGCTTATGGGATCTACAGGAGACTTGGACAACCAAAGTTCAGGAAGGACCACGGTGTGACCAGACCTTAAAAACAACTGGGGTGTGGGATTTAGACACTTCCAAGACTCCCTCTCTATCCACTATCTCTGCCTCTCCTCATGTCCAGACTCCCTTTCTCACTGCACACCAGATAGTAGGGATAGACACAGGAAAGACTGTACCCAAATACCCACCCCCTAAAAAAAAAATCTTAAGCAAGGAATATATTGGCCACCTTAGGTCCAGGAACCAAACCAGAACCAGTCAATTGTGGGCAGGGCAGGCTGGCAATGTGGTTGACCCAGCTAAGGTCGAGACCTGCCACTGGACCAATCAGTAAGACCAAGGGAGGGGTCTCAACCTGAGAGTTCCAAAATTAGAGAGTGAAGAAGAGCTCTTCCTAGGGAAGGGAACTGGCTGATAATCTCAGTTATCCTCTCCTTAGCATTAAAGGAAATGGATAACAAAACAGGAAGCACAGTGAGCTCCCATTTCTGTAAAAATGACGGGGTAGGGGATTGATCAACAGGAGAAAGAAGTCTGACAAGGTATTCTGAAGTGTTAAAAGTGGTTTTTTCGGGGCGCGTGGTTGGGGCAGTCGGTTAAGAGTCAGACTTCTGCTCAGGTCATGATCTCACGGCTTGTGGGTTCAAGGCCCGCAACGGGCTCTGTGCTGACAGCTGGAGCCGGCTTCAGATTCGGGGTCTCCCTCTCTCTCTGCCCATCCCCTGCTTGTGCTCTGATTGTCTCTCTCTCTCTCTCTCAAAAATAAATAAACATTAAAAAAATTTTTAATTTAAAAAAGTGATTTTCTTGCGGCTGTGCTGTTTTCTACCGTGAACACCAAGTGTTTGTGCGATTAAATAATTTTAAGAGAAGAGAGTTAAACTGACTCCATGAGTATTCAGTGATGACTCATTGACTGGAGCTTCCCTGTCTCTCCCCCTGCAGCCAGCCACACTGGATCTGAAACACAAATGATTCTGTGAACTGCACACCTCATCTGTGTCTCCAGCCACCCAATCGTCCAACTAATCGGCATCGACAGGTGCCCAGTAGATGTCAGGCCGCGCTACGTGCTGGAGATGCAGCAGAGTAAGGGCCGGGCCCTGCCCTCGAAAAGCTCCCAGCCTGGTGGCAGAAACCTAAGAGTGCAAATCAGTTATGTTTTAAGGAGCTCAACGCAGAAGTTGAGCAGTGTGCCAGGAGACTATAGACCACAGAAAAACCCCTTCTGTTTATGGGGATCTTGAGAGGTGGTTTGAGGTCTTGGGGCATATGCAAAGGTACAGGGTTCACCGGTGGTTGGCAGGGAGCTGACTGCAGAGGGAAGTCTGAGGGGGCAGGCAGTGAGCTCCATTCACTAAGTGCTGAGTGCGTGTCTGTCATGTGTCGGGCTTCTGGCTATGGGCTCACCGATGAGATAGCAAAAGCATTTGGGATTCATTTCCAGAGGCTCTTGACTGCCATTCTATCCCTTTTCCAATAAAACAAAGCTGAAACTAAAATGTGGGCTTATCGCTTCTCCACCAAGAGGGACAAAGATCTCGCCTCTCTGTCTCTGGGTCCTCCTGAGTATCCTCAGCCTCTGTACCTCTGTGTTAAAGGAGGACCTGGGTGTGTGTATGGGGCGGTGGTGAGGGCTTCCCAGCGCCCTGCTTCCTGGGTCTGTAGCTCTGTCCAAGTGCCGGGGATATTGGAACACGGTATTTGGGGAGTCCTCCCAGGAAACATTACAGAGGCTGAGCTGTGTTCAGAAGGTCCTCGCTGGGTGTTGTAATAGAGGACTGGAGTCACCATCACGGCCCTGCCCTCCCAGCTTGGGGTCTCCAGAGGGGTTCTGGGGAAGGGGGGGTCACTGTCATCTGAAGTGTCTTTCATGCACTAAGCCAAATGACCTTGGCCTGAATCGCTGAGGGTTATGTAAGATTAGGTAGCCACTTAGTCAAAAATAGCTCTCATGCTGACTCCAGCCTACAGAACAGCATCCAAGCGAAGGGGACACAGATGGACCAGAGCTGGGCACGCATGGGGAAATTCCCTTCCTGGTCCTCACCACTGGAAAATTGTCTAAGAGTGTCAGATGGGCCTCCAGAGCTGCCGACAGGTGATGTCCCATGCTTGCCTATTTGGCTGCAGTAGTGTGGCTGCTACGCTGAAGCATAGAGACCAAGGGACCATAAAGGCAGAAACACAGTGCAGACATTAGGATAAATTAAATCTTATGAGAGTACAGCAGGCAGAAAGAGCACCAAACTAGGAGTCTTCAGATCTGCTAATTGCCAAAGACACTCTAAAGCTGGTCACTTTCATGTATTCATTCAACAAATACTTACTGAACAGCCACTATGTGTCAGTGACCGTGCAAGCACTGGAGACACAGAGGCGGTGACGGACGCCATTCCTACTCTCACGGAGTGCCAGCTGGCGGTCAAGTGTCTTGTCCCCCATGCTATGGAGAACTAACACTTTCTGAGATCTTCCTTGTACTGGGTGCTTCACAAGACATTGGCCTTCACAGGAACAAGCTAGATGCAGTCCTTGGCTGCATGTAGCTTATAGTGTAGAGGGAGAAACAGACAACAGACAAAACAGCATCAATGAAACCCAGACAAAGTGTCTTTATAATGACAGTTCCGATTAAGACTTGCTAAGGGCCCTTCTAAGTCTAAGAGGAGGATCTCTCTCTATTGGATGAATGAGACTGTTCCTATTTCCTTCAAGGTTTCTGCCCAGTGAAGGAGCATGCCAGGGCCCTTGCACTCTCCCTCTGGAAGTGACACTGGGGGAAAGTCATGTGGACCCTGTACGAGGCAGAGCCCCTCCCACAGCTGTTCAGAGTGGGTGTTGGTCTGATACTTTTGGAGGACAATTTGGCAATGGTCATCAAAGCTTTAGAAGTATGGCTCCCCCCCGACCTAATAAGCCCACTTCTGGGAACTTATCCAAAGGAAATAATTGGATAAGTGCACAAAGATGTACATTATAACAAAGCTTGCTGCATTCTTATTTATGATAGTTAAAAATTTGAAATAACTATGAGGCCCAATATTTAGAGATCGTTGGAACAAATTGTAGTATAGCTGTAAGATGTGGTAAAATGATTAAGTGGTCCTTGATACCACAGTCATGGAAAGATGGCCATCTATGAAGTTTAAAAAAGTTGTATGCAGAGAAATTAGACCTCTGTGCTCTGCTGGTGGGAATATAAAGCGATATAGCCCCTGTGGAAGACAGTATGGCAGATCTTTAAAAAATTAAAAAGAGAATTATCATGTGATCTAGCAATCTCACTTCTAGGTATATACCTCAAGAGAATTACCAGCAAGTTCTTGAAGAGATAGTTGTATATCCTAGTTTACAGCAGCATAATTTATAGTAGACAAAACATGGAAATCACACATGTCCGTTGACGGGTAGGTGGATAAGCAAATGTGGTGTGTTTATACAACAGAACATTATCTGGCCTTAAAAAGGAAGGAAATTCTGACATGTGGTACAACATGGAGGAACCTTGAGGACATTATAGTAAATGAAATAAGCCAGTCACTAAAAGAAAAATACCGTGTGATTCCACTTACATAAGTCAGTGTCATCAAATCATAAAGATAGAAAGGAGCATGGTGGTTGCCAGGGGCTGTGGGAAGGAGAGAACGAGGAGTTACTGTTTAATGGGCCTAGAGCTTCAATTTAACAAGATGAAAAGCGTTCTGGAGATAAATGGCAGCGGTGGTAACACATTATAAGGGCATGTAATGCCACTGAACTATACACTTCAAAATGGTTACAGTGGTTAAAAAAAAGGTTAAGATGGTAAATTTTACATTATGTGTATTTTGTCATAACAAAAAACAATAGGAAAAGATGGCTATAATAGCACTGAAAAAGAATAAAATATTTTGGAGTCAAACTTAACCACGGAGATGTAAAACTTATATACTAAAACTACAAAACATTGCTAAAACTAAACAAGATCTAAATAAGTGGCCATCTATGTTGATGGGCTTAAGACTTAATATTGTCAAGGTGACAATAATCCCCAAAGCAATCACAGATGGACTGCGATCCTTATGGAATCTCAAAACCCTGCAAATTCTACTTTTCAGAAGTGGGAAAGCCAGTTCTGCAATTCATAGGGAATTGCAAGAAGTCCTAAATAGCCAAAACAATCTTGAAAAGGGAAACTAAACGTTAAGACACACTTCCTGACTTCAAAGACGCTACACAGCTATGGTAATCAAAATAGCGTGGTATTGCATAAGGATAGTCTTTTACATAGGTCAGTGGAATAGAATTGAGAGTCTGGACATAAACCTACACATCTTTGACAATTGATTTTCAACAAGGATGCTAAACCCATCGAGTAGGAAAAGAAAAATCTCTTTAACAAATGGTGCTGGGGCATCTGGATCTCTTACATGTGAAGAATAAAGTTGGGCCTTTAGCTCACACCATAGGAAAAATGAATGCAAATGTATAAAAGTCCAGATTATAGGAACTAAAACTATAAGAAGAAAACATAGGAGTAAGTCTTTATGACCTTGAGCACAAGTGATGAAAGAAAATAAAAACACAGATAAACTGGAGTTCATAAAAATAAAAATCTTTTTCGCATCAAGGGATACAACCAAGAAAGGGAAAAGAAACCCGCAGAATGGAAGAAAACATTTGCAAATCATATATCTGTTGAGAGTCTGTATTCAGAATCTATAAAGAAGTTGTATAA